CATTATGATATTTACAGACAATCTACTACTTATCATGTCCTACCATGATGACAAGTTTCATCAATGTGGGCCAAATGTGTGTAGAAATCTATTTGTTAAAAAAGTACACATTTCGTAAAATTTTAAAACACACCCTAAGACATTGAAAATCTTCATCAAATTGGGAGGGATTAGCATGAAAACATTTAAAAAAACTATTTTGAGTATGTCTGATAATATTTAATCAATATATATTTCATCTGGGCCATTTGATGTATTGTATTTGTTTATGATAATAAAACTATGCAGAATGCAGCTGACACATTTTGCGTAGGGACATAGTAAATTATGAGCTGATCTCACTTAGTCATCTTTTATATCATTTGCATCAAAATCCTCATTCATAGATCTTTCAGTGTCTACTTCTGTCAAAGCATCCGTTGCAATATTTATGTGACTATATGTCTTTGAGATCATCAGGTGGAATGGGTTGGTCTGACCAATTTGGCTCTATTTTGCCACCAACAAGTTACCACGTCACTTGTAATAAACAAACTAAGAGTTATATACAACTATAACACCCAATTAAAAATACTGGAAATGCTTCTTAATGAATTCTAAAAACCATGAACAGTTGAAAAAAACAGCAGACATTAAAAAAGTTGAGAACAACAGTATGTATTACTCTGAGAGTAAAACATGTCCGTTGATGACCAGTGATGGCAATTAAGCGTCCACTGTTGTGATTGATGAGATGTGATAAGTTTTATGAAATGTTTCCATGCTTATTTCTCCCAAAATGATGAGCATATTATGTGCTTAATGTCAAGGGTTGCATGAGTCTTAGATTTTTACGAAAATGTGTACTCTTTAACAAATGATTTATGTTACCATAGCAACCAAATTACCAACATTGAAGGCACTTGTTATACTGGTAGGACATGTAAATGGATGATTACCCGTAAATATCAAGATGATTGATTGAATATTCTAGGAATTATGCATGGCTTTCATAGTACCCCCTTAATGTGCACTTTTTAACAAATTATTTCTGTTACCAGAGCAACCAATTGACCAACATTGATGGCACTTGTCATACTGGTAGGACATGATAAGCAGATGACTACCTGTAAATATCAAGATGATTGATTAAATATTCTGGGAATTATACATAGTACCCCTTTGATGTGCAATTTTTAAGAAATGGTTTCTGTTACCATAGCAACCAATTGACCAACATTGATGGCACTTGTCATACTGGTAAGACATGATAAGCAGATGATTACCCATAAATATCAAGATGATTAATTGAATATTCTAGGAATTATACATAGTATCTCCTTAATGTGTATTTTTAATAAATTATTTCTGTTACCATAGCTACCAAGTGTTAAACATTAATGAAACTTGTCATAGTGGTAGTACATTATAAGTAGATGATTACCTGTAAATATCAAGATGAATGGCTGTATATTCTAGGAATTATAGATGGCTTTCATTGTATCCCCCTTAAAATCATACCAATGGGGTATAACTCTGTTTACCATAGTAACCAGTAATCCAACACTAATGAAATTTTCCATGATAGTCAAACATAATGACGTAAATAATATCTGTTAATTTCAGGACAAATGGTCACCTATTTTCTTCAAAAAAATGAACACAAATAAAGAACTCTTTGGAAAAGTGCCACATCCCCTTTCTAAATTTACTTGCATTGCCATATAATCATCAGCAATAGATTCCACTGTGTGGATAAGATAAAACAGCAGTTGATTTAATATTATCAAATATACTTTGAATAAGTTTTCTAAAATGGTCTCATGGTGATTCCTTCCAATTTTATGAAAATAATATGTGTTTTGTCTCATGGGGTATCTTACATTTTGACGAAAATGTGTACTTTTTAACATATGACCTCCATTTCCATAGCAACCAGTGGATTAACTTTAATGAAACTTGTCATAATGGTAGGACATGATAAGTACATGATTACCTGGAAAAATCAAGATGATTGGCTCTATATTCTAGGAATGAAATATGGCTTTCCAAGTACCCCCCTTAAAATTATACCAGGGGGGTATAAATCTGAATATTTCTAAAACGCTGAAAAACTAGACACCAATGATTTCAGAATCAATGTATGATAATAAACCACAAATAACCTACACGAAGAGAAATTTGCTACTTTTCAAAACCACTGTTACACCACGCTCAACCAGTAAATAGTTTGAGGTCTAAAACAGCATTATTGCAAGTGATAAGAACAATCTTCGGGCTCTTATGAATGGAGCTAACCCTTTATTACGATTGGATGTCCTACGGAGATTTGAGGGTAAAAATAAGGTACATTTGAGTAACAGTTGAATTTTTCTAAATAAATAAATTAATTAAATAAATAAAATTCTACCATCGAAAACTTGGGGGGACACGAAAATTTGAAAAGCATTCGGACTTCAAGTAGACATGGTATGATCTATCTTGAAGCTCTACCCCTGAGTCTGAGCCAATGGCCATCCTCTGAGCCACTACAACTAGGACTAGCCACTACAGGTGTAGGGGCAGCTTGTTATCGAAGGTCATTACACAAGATAGGCCGTGCTTAGTTGAGATAAACTTAGTCCAACAACATTAGACCTAGCCCGGGCCTCGTTTCTTATCTGACATGTGTTATGGTCCGGCTAGGTCTAACCTCCATGACCATTTTGCCTTTGATGCGTTAATTTAATCGTTCAGCAGGTTTCGACAAGCGGAACAAATTAAACCCTGAAAACATGGCAATATTACACAAAGAATGTGATTCAAACATGCATACATACCTTATAAACACATACACCCCGTCCCGTATCCCCCGTAGACCCTATTGATGCATAATTACGAAAATATTGGAGACAGGTTTGGAAATGACGAAAATGTCGGTCAGTTTCGGTAACATCGAAATTGCAAATCGTTTCAGGAATTAACCGTCATCACGGCACTGCATTAACGAACAGTGGGTTTGCAATTAATAACTATTTTGCGTGTATACACGCGCTATATAAATTAATCAAAGATACCTGTTATCCTCAAAATTGATCTTTTTATCCCGAGTAATCGCGATAATAATTATCAATCTATTTGACAACAATTTCGTTTCGCTGGTAGTTTAATTTTACGATCCGGGACACTCAGACGAACAGACACAATGACGGACATGCGGAATGTCACTTTAGAGATTGGTAAGTGTAGCCTCATTTTACTCGTATAAATGAACATTTAACACAAAAATATTGTGTTAAATCGCTTGATGTTATGTGTTTTTATATTATTGTCAAGTATCAGTTGCACGTTATCGCGGAAAAATGGTTTCGATGGATTCAGAACTTGCATCAAAGGAAAGAATAGTAAGGAGGTTAAACTCAATAACGGCCCCAAGAAAATTCCTAATAATAAAGAACGCCGTTATTGAGTTTAACGACGTTGAACTAAGATAAACTGGGCTTTGATCCTCTTGACTCGAGAAGTTAACTACAAAGTAGTAAATTCTCACATCCTTTTTGTGTTCCATAACCGAACATTTTTTTTATTTCGATGGCACATGTTTTGTGTCGAGCCGCTCTGAAGATTTTTGATCCCTGACAGCTTCTACATGCAAGCAAGGGAATTACCGGATAGTTAAAGGGTTCCGATTAGCATCCCGTATAAAAACAATATGGCGGCTCCAGGCGAATCAACTGGATCAGTCCATTTTTAAGAAATAAGGGGAGTTCTGTAAAATCCAGTTTATTGAAATTGTCTTTGAAAGTAATCCGTTTATAATGATTTTGAAAACGTTATCCAAAGAGTGATTGCGTTCAAAGAATACATGTACAACAGCCAATATAAATCCTTGTATTAGAAACCGGTTTGTCTTGCTTTGTTTCATTTGTAGGATATTTCATATGCCAAGCTGTGTGCTATTACGTTATGGGGAAATTTAGATGCCAATTTTTCCTTATTATACACAAATAGAAGATCCTGAAACTTCATCCATAAATGTGGAATTGATTTGTCAAAATAAAAATCACCCTTTTATAAATCTATAATATACTTATGCTATATAACAGTTAGAGGTGTTGACACAACGATCTCGAACCTGTGAACCCTTGAGTATTATTCCGGGATCGGGCCTTTTATACTAAACGGTGAGCAACACCAGAAACGAGCGTTCGATTTGCTAAACGATATGCGTCACCCTTTAATCAAAAGGCGTGTTTTTGTATTTTTAATCGGATGTGGATTCAAATCTTGTAGAGGCATTGCATTTTTCGTTTGTGCAACACTGAATGTCTTTAGTTTTATGTCATTAGAAAGTGAACGAATCATTATTATAAGCACTGAGCCTTATCAGGCTTATGAGGCACGCAATCCACTCAATATCGACGCGCTGTTTGATTGTTGCACATCGGTCACTTTCTTTCAATAGATTCCGTAGAAGCGAAAATGAACAAGTTCTGTAACGTTCCGTAGATTTACTCATTTGAAGCGATTTATTTGTAATCTTTTACTGAAATTGTATAACGGAACTCTTATAGCTTAATACACTGTGGCTAGTCGAAATATGTGGATGCAGTCATGTACATGTAATGTATCGTAGGTGCTCGCGTCAATTATGGGGGAATGGGGTCATTCCAAAAATATAACAGCAAATCAAGGTTAGTGATTTCAGAGTTCCTACTAACATTGAGTCTTGAAATATTGCATAAATATTCAATATAGTACTATATATAATATAGGAAATAGATAGGAAATATAGGAATATAGGAAAGTCGGTTTCAGCTACTACATTCCTGTAATAGAGAAGATATTTGAACAACATTTCGTAAATGTAAACATATATGTATACAACGGATGTATCATTTGGATCCAGAACGGTAACAAATGGATGCTATCATAAACTATACTTTTATCAAGATGATTTATATTAACAGAAGAACAACTGGCCAGATTTCTTGTGTATCCATTGCTTGGATAAACATTCCTCATTCAGTGAAGCAATTGACCAAACCATTTCAAGACACTCTTATGAAGAATTGAGAATTGATAGACTAGATATAAATCCATCAAAGGAAAATGCTATTCCAGAAGAAAAAAATGATCGCATCCCTCATACTACGAACTTGAAAAATAGGTCCATATCATGTAAAGATGACGATAAAAATATTGGAATCAGGTACAACAATCAAGTGAATTCAGAGCCAAAGACTCTTCAACCCACTGTTTTACCCAAAGATCAAGTTCCAGAGCCCTTAACATCCCTTGACAGTGACGATGAGCAATCAACAGGTGGACCATCCGTAAATCTCGATAATTTTATAAGCTCAGCTGAACGAGCCTACAGATTCCTTTAAAGTGGGAATATCGATTGCCGAGTCGTATCCAATGATCCTGGGCCTATCGTAAAATGAAAGCTTTGAATATGTTGTTGCCTTTAAAAATGTATCTATTTTCCATGTATGCAACTAGAATTTGTGCACATACCTTATAACGATCGATAATGGCAAAGGAAAATCCTCTAATTCTTCGTCATAATTTCTCCTTCGACGTCCGCCATTTTTTATTAAACCGGAAGTTTGTTCTCTAACGTCCGCGCAATGTTTTTTCACTTTTATTTTAGATTACGCTCCGGATTTAACATTTAATGCTTTCTAATATTAATTAAGTGTTTTCTATCAGAAAGATTTCATAAAAAGACTCACACTATCAGAGATTTTATCGATTCGAGCAGCCAGAAAAATTAGTTTCAATTTCACCCGCTAGGTGTTTCGACGTCGACTTGGAAAGAATTTGAAAAATCTATGAGTGGGACTCCTTGTATGGAATTGTAGATTCTAAACGATTTGCCAGTTCTACTGGTTGATGAATATTGCCATATGCATACATTTTTATAAAATAGGAATAAGGAAGAAGATGTTGGACCAAACTTCACCCCGATAGCTCAGAAAAGGTAAAATTTCTCCATTTTTCTCTCCACAGACCTTAGAGCCGCTTTAAACAAATGATTCAAGTTCAAGAATACTAATATCGATTTACAGTTTTTGGGAAATAGTGGTAAGTGGAATCTTTCCAATAGACTAGATGCGAGTAGAAATGATCCTAATTTACGTCATTAAATATTCAAAATTCAGTCAAAGTGATGTCATATTTGAAATCTACATGTAAAAATGCATCTAAAAATACGGTTTCGAAAATTGTTTATCAACTTTGAAAATTTAATATTTTTTGAAAATGTGACTTCTAGTTCGGGTTGATTCCCCATAGACCCCATATTACAAAATCACAAAAAGTGAAATATCTTTTCTTGTATTGGACATATAACATTTTCTTTTACTGGACATACTTTAATTTGCATAACTATTCGATACATAAGGGCTATCTGAAAATTGAACCACTAAAACCGATGAAATTAAAGTTAAAGGGAACTTTCTACTATACCCGCCATGCTATCTGACCCGAGCGAGCCACCTGGTGGTGAAACTGGTAACTAGCTGCTCGCATTTGCGTTATTACCAATATAGCATTGTTATTGTTTTTGGACACTGTGGATTATTTCACCTAGTGGATTTGTCATTTTCTGAACGTTTGACTTTGTAAAATCACGATGTTTTATTGCGAAATCACTATCATTAGGGTTTTATGAAGTGATATCATAATTAAATTAAATTGCTTAACGGATATTTCATACCATAACCCCCAAAATATTATAAAACGTGTTGGATATGTATTTTACTTCACACAGACATATTTGGATATGTGAAATAATTATATTACTTGAATTTTTTATTCTCCGTTATAAAGTAAACCTATGGCAAATTATACATACCTTCTCACAGCTGTGAGCGAGATGATAAAACGGGTCAAGTGAACTCGTTTGAGTTATCTATTCGCCGTAAAAAATCACCGAATGTGTGTGTGTGTTCATAGGCTAGCTCTGGTTTGGTAAATCAATGAAGTGTGATATCCACGGATGAGTAAATATAGATCATTTAAACAAAAGTGCAAATTTCTTCCATTGAAAAGTACAGAGGCGGGTACTTACGATACATTACATGTATATGACTGCATCCACATATTTCGACCAGCCACGGCGATGTAATAGGTGTTATAGTTATTGCATGGCATATTAGTCTGTACAACAATAAATCTTATACTTTACGTGTTTATCTACTTTTCTGACTATTTTCCTTCCGTTGACCTTTCATTAATAAATCGATGAGCTAAGCTCAAAACCCCGACGGTTCGCACATATTTATTACGTGAGACCTGTCACCGTACGTGTTATAACAAGCCACAGATTACACTCTAGAGATAATTGTCATCGTCGATGATAAGTGCGTTCTGAGCGATTCCAGGATCAAAATATAAGATTTACGTATTTCAAAAATTGAATTTTTAAGCTTATTTGGCGCGTTCTGGGCGATTCTGGTGCGTTCTGACCGATTCTGGGATCAAACTATTTGATTTACGTATTTTGAAAAAAAATTTTTAGACTTATTTGGCAAGTTCTGAGTGATACAAGGATCATAATATATGTTTTATTAAAAAAAATCAGGGAGTATGCTCCCCCGATAAATGTAAGTTTTTTGGGCTTTTTGGTGCGTTCTGAGCAATTCTGGTGTGTCTGATTGATTCTGGGATAAAAAAAACATGATCTACGTATTTTTAAAAAGTCGAATTCTTAGGCTTATTTGACACGTTCAAGCGATTCTAGGATCAAAATATATGATTTGTTTAAAAAAATCAAGGGGCATGCTCTCCTGAAAAGTTTATTTAGTTATATACGCCAATTTTGTAGTTTGACCTACTCATTCTGTGTTTGTAGGCCCCAATTTTTAGGGCCAAACTTAGGGGGTGGGGGCTTATCCCCCTCATTTCCGCCAGTGAGACAGTGTAAGAATTTGCACTTTAAACACACACCATCCATAAAAATGAACTCTTCAATTTAATAGACAAACGAATCATTTAGTTGCCTGTTAATATAAACTAGTCTAGTCAATTTGGAATGTTTATAAAAAGAAATTGGCAATATCCGAACAAAAAACGTACACCAAATGTTACTTTCTACCTCGAAATGAAAGCAAATACTTCTAGAAAGCAAAAAAAAAGGTAGGTCGGACATTTTTTAGGAGACATCTTGCCACCAGCCCCCCCCCCCGCCCGGCTACGGGCCTGTAAAACTTACAAATATATCAAAATGATTTGAATTAAGAGGGTTATGGATTGTCAGGAGTTGACATTGCTGCCCGATACCTGAAAAACAATAAAAACATCCCTTCCTTGAAGAGGCCGAATACATGCCTCTACACAGCAATAGTTTCACTCGTTACTTATTATGATTGGCTAAATATACATCCCGTGACTATATTCTACAATCCAGGATATTGGATTCCGTTAAAGTGTCGCTATAAAAGCTAAAACTCCTCACAGATGTTTTCAGTCAATTGGCAAGCTACACATAAGATACGATCCAACGAGCACGAATGCCGAGGACGGATGTTTAATCAAGATGGGGGAAGTGTTATAACCAGGTATAGAGCGAGGCCTTGCAAAGTATTGAACCAATAGTTAGGATATTACATGTATGCTTATATAAGCAATGATTTAAGGTTAGACAAATTTAAGCATACACTTGACATCAGTAATAAATAATAATTAAGGCCGTCATTAGTTAAGGCTTCCTTAACGAATCTTCGAACGGAAGAAGGCATTCAATCATTTTGAAACTCAGCACGTTTTTACAAAATAAAATATTAGAACCTTACTGATAATTGTAAGAACACACAATTGAGACTAATACGGCGATGTGCAGATTACGTTATTATATAGCGCGTAAACATAATGGTTAAATCACAAGTGTCACCACCAGAATATGTTCGATGCAATACTACTTAGCAGTAGCAACTAAAGTCAGAGACGCAATTCAGGTAGGGTAAATCCATTTCCGTAAAATTGCTAATTATCCGACAATTCGATCAGTTGAACAACATTTGAGACAGCTCATGAATCAGATATCGACTTCCTTTCTGGAGAATTATGTCAAAGAATTTCTTTTAGGTCACCGGTGCGTGTTTTTAGGGTGACACATGAAAGTATCCTTAATTTTGATTATGTTTGCTTTTGATTTGTTATTCCTAGTAGTAAGTTATACATATAATCATACAAAATAAAGTTTTGTGTCAAACCCAACCCACTTTGGACTGATCAACCACTTCCAAAATGTAATCAATAATATACGATAACATCCATCATAAGTTACGTATCATCTTAAAGTTGTTTTTTAAATACATGACCACTTTATTCCCTGTTGCATTATGTATGAATGTATTCTTTATTTACATCTATTCATTTAGACAATTACATGGTAATTATATATAATGATACATTTGGTAAAAAAGAATGATATAAAAAAGAAAAGAAAACAGCAAAAACAGTCCAGGTTAACAGTAGAGCATACAAACAAGGAAATATCCAATGAAGACACATTTTAACAATGTAATTTTTACCATCTGGGATTAATTTCATGATGACTATAACATATACGGCTATCCAATGGCCATTCTACTTTTAAATTAGAAACATATAAATAAAAGGGATGTTGCTTTTATAGTCATTTATCTATGGATCAAAAAAGCAATGATTTTAAGACCGAGTGAATAAAACCGTATCTTATCGCACAAGTCCGCAATCTCTGGCGTTCAGGTTCAAAGGACGGCGAAAAATTACAAATCTCTATGGACACATCCACGACAACATATTTAACAAACCAAACGTTACAAATGGAATTACATTTTTGTTGGGCGCACATCACGTTTTGCGTATAGGTTTTACTACTTGATGCTATCTTAGGTCTCTAGAATATTGACTCGACGACGCTCGTTACCTTTAATGGTCTATCTCACACACCTAACCATCGACAAGGTACAGTGACAAAATATACCGCAGTACACTTTAGATGTACGATGTCACTATTTAACCGATTTAAAGCAAAGACAATGATGCAGGTGTGGTGTACAGGTTTTAAAAATAATCTTGGGAATACTTGAAAGATTTCATGTTTAATTTCGTGTCTGTGTATTCGTTTAGGAAGACATTTAACTTTCTAATAACGTTAACAGATTTTCGAACAGTGCTCGATTTTTTTCGTAGTCAATGTACCCACGAAAATTGATCGGTTGGAAAATGTTGGGTTTTTTACATTTCCTTTGATCATTTTTTATGAGAATATGTTTCTCTATACTACACAATTTAGGACGGATGGAGATTAATAAATATTCAAGTATAAAAAATCAGAAATGTACGTTTTCCCTGTGATTGAAATTCATGAGATATACGTATTATTAAACAATGTAATGATTTCCTTTCAAAATTCATTAAGGTTTTTATAAGTAACATGTGATCTTTAACAAACATGTTCAAGTATCCTTTTTGCTTTTTCATTTTATGAAATTATTGTTGTGTTGGTGGTTAATTTGTGCCCATTTGGTGTTAGCTTCCAGCCCAAACTCCCATCCAGTGTCTCGGAATAAAATATGCAATCTACGAGCTTTTCGTCCAGTGCAATCCGTACTTCCTGTGCCTTACCTCATGCAGTTCTTTAAATTCCCGCACCCTTCTAAATATTTTGACCTGCTTCAAAAAATATATTTCTTTGCGTTTGCTACTGATTTTATTCGTTATATTTTATAAAATGTTTATTTCTAATGTAGTAAGAATTCATTCATAAGAAAGAAATAGTAAAAAAAGTAATTCGTAAGAAACTGTTAAAAATGAATACTTAGGAATTTGCAAGGTCAGAAATTGTTTATTAACACCGTTGCTATGCAGTTCGTTTTGAAGTGACGTCATCCCCATATTCGTAATTTTAATCGTCTAATAAACGAATACCACATGTCGATGTTATGTTTTAATCGATAAAATTTAATTTCTTACATATTTCTCTATCTTGTTACTAGATAACAAGTTATGATATTGGTGAACTCGCAAGAAATTAACTTAATATTATTTGAAGCGTTTTTAGAAAATGTTGACACCGCCATCTTGAATACGTCTAGTAATGTTGATCCCAGTAATTATCGATCTTGACATTTTACAAGTTGTTGCTCCGCGGAGATTTTTATCAAGTACAATGTAGATTACCAATTTCGATGATAAAATCATTTGTAAACGTTCTAATTAATGTTATATCAAAGTTTCGGCGTTGTTGATAAAGTATTACAAATCGTACTAATTTCTGAAGCTTTCTAAGATCGTGCCCCGGGAATTTTAGAACTATTTTAACAACGTCAGAGAGGTAGTGAAGGCACGCAACGAACGAAATGAATTTTGAGAATGTAAAATATGTTGAAGACTACACTATATGAAATAGAGAATATTGCTTTGTTATAAGCAGTGTCTATTTGTAAGAATCTCTTGTTATGTGCAGTAATCAGCAAAAATACTCAGCACATATAAACAGAGACAGTACAGAGACAATACTCGCTGCATATATGGAACACTCTGTATATTCAAGTATTGCTCCTCTTTATTTGTAAAACAGCACAAATAAGCACTGATTATACGTGGAGTTAAGAATACTCAAATATATGCAAACGCAATACTCTGTAAGTGTGCAATATAGTCACACATTATAATTGCCTCTTTCTGACTATATTAAGCTATTTCTAAGTTGCTCTGCTCATTTTATAACTGAGCATACAAATAAATAACGGACTATTTGTGCGAATTTTTCTATTAAGCATGATAAAACAATACAACTAAAGAATGTAAGTACCGTAGTTCTTTATGAACATGACTTTACCTGTGTATAATAAGCGACTACAGGATGGATTTCGAAAGAATCTATTTTTACTATAATTGTGATTTTTCGACACCTATTAAGTCACACCGGAAAAGAGAGATCTTCCTTGTAGTAATAAATAAGTTGCTAATAAAGAATACTTGTGCAAACCCATGTTTTTAATGGAGATCGCCCCCCCCCCCGACGGAAAGCTGGCTACACCGCTGAACTTGTTATCTCTACTTTTAGAGTCAATGCAACCTAATTCTTCCTGAGAAAGTATTATAATTTAACAACCTGTTATCACCGTTCGTATTAAATCATGGATTGTACATAGGAATTCAATTGTCTACTTTTTCAAATCGCCGCTTTGTTTTCCATTTCCCATGATCAAAGCAAATGGAAGTCTAGACTCTTTTGGTCATGTTTTGGATTGCATTTAAAATCTGCACATCTTTTAATCCGCTTAATAAGTGATTCTTGCCTTGAATTAAAGCCCGGCCATGTTAAATTCCTCCCGGTAACGCCGGTATTTAGAAAAAAATATGACAGCTAATGGAAAATCAATCAGTGTTGATTTCATTTATATAACTCATTTACAGGAGTTTTGTATTCCCGATGCACTTGGTCATAGTTTGCCCGGGATAGTTTGTTTATGATAAATTGATTTAAGTTTAAATAGAAAAGAAAGATAGTATTCTAATTTGAATTTTAGGAACTGGGTTTCAAAAACCTGCTTTTTAACATCAGTTTGAAACTGGCTTTTAATAACCCTGCTTTTTGAGAACTATAGATTGCAAATGTGGTTGCCTTCGTGTACTTTTCAATGTTTCGGTGCAGTTTTGTGAATCAAAATATCATTCTTTGATAACTTGATAATATGAGAATGACGAGACTAAACCCGGGAATCTTTTTTTGAAAGCCCCCTTCCCCCAGTCAAAAGCTGGCTACGAGCCTGTAATATGATGAATTGCCCCGGTCTCTTCTCAATCGTGTTATAAGAAATTGGGGGACATAAAATATTCAGGTAACTTTACTGAGTTAAACTTGCAAACAATATATTCCACAATACATGTTTTTCTGTTATGCATTTTATCAGAGATACCCTTGTTTCTATTTTGAATTGGACCTTGCTTTGTTTTCAATTCCCAAATACATTCACAAAATTTGAAAGATTTGGTACGCACAATTGATAATTTGATAATAACGATAAAGAAACGGGCACATTTATTGCAACTGTTTCATTTGACAGATCAATTAATAAGTTTTGTGCATGGTAGCCGTAGAGCAAACTTACAAAAATACCTTTTGACATGTCAGAGAAATATACCAAACTTTAATCCCTAATTATTCAATTCTAGCAAATGAGTTAAGTTCTCACTGATATTAATCCGTTTGTTATAGTTAAATGGATTAATTTCTATAGCCAGTTGTTCTAAATTTCCGCATAAAATTATTTTACAAGGAAAGTTTACATGTATGTAATGATTGTAAGTCCCCGTGCTACATTGTATAATTAAATTTCTGTTAAATTCAGAAATTAACCGATTTTCTCTGAAGGAATGCAAAAGGTAGTTCAACATTTAAGGATACAACTGAACAAGGTGGGCATGGATCCGGGGCATGGATACCGGGAGGGGAGACTTAAGCTACATTATTTTCAGATGTTTGGATTGTTCACTTCTAAGGATGTTATTTTAGCGAGTAATGCAATCAGACGGCTTGTGCACAATGGTGTTACCTATAATTAGT